GACGGTGGGAGCACAGCAGAGACGGTGGGAGCACAGCAGAGACGGTGGGAGCACAGCAGAGACGGTGGGAGCACAGCAGAGACGGTGGGAGCACAGCAGAGACGGTGGGAGCACAGCAGAGACGGTGGGAGCACAGCAGAGACGGTGGGAGCACAGCAGAGACGGTGGGAGCACAGCAGAGACGGTGGGAGCACAGCAGAGACGGTGGGAGCACAGCAGAGACGGTGGGAGCACAGCAGAGACGGTGGGAGCACAGCAGAGACGGTGGGAGCACAGCAGAGACGGTGGGAGCACAGCAGAGACGGTGGGAGCACAGCAGAGACGGTGGGAGCACAGCAGAGACGGTGGGAGCACAGCAGAGACGGTGGGAGCACAGCAGAGACGGTGGGAGCACAGCAGAGACGGTGGGAGCACAGCAGAGACGGTGGGAGCACAGCAGAGACGGTGGGAGCACAGCAGAGACGGTGGGAGCACAGCAGAGACGGTGGGAGCACAGCAGAGACGGTGGGAGCACAGCAGAGACGGTGGGAGCACAGCAGAGACGGTGGGAGCACAGCAGAGACGGTGGGAGCACAGCAGAGACGGTGGGAGCACAGCAGAGACGGTGGGAGCACAGCAGAGACGGTGGGAGCACAGCAGAGACGGTGGGAGCACAGCAGAGACGGTGGGAGCACAGCAGAGACGGTGGGAGCACAGCAGAGACGGTGGGAGCACAGCAGAGACGGTGGGAGCACAGCAGAGACGGTGGGAGCACAGCAGAGACGGTGGGAGCACAGCAGAGACGGTGGGAGCACAGCAGAGACGGTGGGAGCACAGCAGAGACGGTGGGAGCACAGCAGAGACGGTGGGAGCACAGCAGAGACGGTGGGAGCACAGCAGAGACGGTGGGAGCACAGCAGAGACGGTGGGAGCACAGCAGAGACGGTGGGAGCACAGCAGAGACGGTGGGAGCACAGCAGAGACGGTGGGAGCACAGCAGAGACGGTGGGAGCACAGCAGAGACGGTGGGAGCACAGCAGAGACGGTGGGAGCACAGCAGAGACGGTGGGAGCACAGCAGAGACGGTGGGAGCACAGCAGAGACGGTGGGAGCACAGCAGAGACGGTGGGAGCACAGCAGAGACGGTGGGAGCACAGCAGAGACGGTGGGAGCACAGCAGAGACGGTGGGAGCACAGCAGAGACGGTGGGAGCACAGCAGAGACGGTGGGAGCACAGCAGAGACGGTGGGAGCACAGCAGAGACGGTGGGAGCACAGCAGAGACGGTGGGAGCACAGCAGAGACGGTGGGAGCACAGCAGAGACGGTGGGAGCACAGCAGAGACGGTGGGAGCACAGCAGAGACGGTGGGAGCACAGCAGAGACGGTGGGAGCACAGCAGAGACGGTGGGAGCACAGCAGAGACGGTGGGAGCACAGCAGAGACGGTGGGAGCACAGCAGAGACGGTGGGAGCACAGCAGAGACGGTGGGAGCACAGCAGAGACGGTTTTACGTGGCAGTAACGACCGAAACAGAAGGTGGGCGGACCTGGTGTGTGGAATAGCAGCACCGACAGCTGCGAGTGAGGCGCTTCGACGGAGGACGACGGGAAGTGGCAAGCGGCAGCAGCGAGGTGCTAGAGGCAGAGGCAGTGAAGAGAGAGGAATGGAGGGAGAAAGGCAGAGGCTACACTGGTGAGAAAGGCGCGCTCTCAAGAGGCTAGGAAGCAAAGAGGAAGGAAATGAATCGCCGCCGTGCAGTTAGAGCTGGGATTGAAAAGAAGGGTGCACGAGACGGGCAGGAGGAAGGAAGAGAATGGCGAGCGGAGGAGGAGGATGTGTGCGATGCGCGCGCATTGTGGCTGCCAACGCCCCACTCGCCTTGCTGTCGCACCCATCTCGAGTCGCCTTCTCAATCGCTTCTTTCACGCAGGACAGATCGCGTTCACCTAGTAGCAAGCAATTGCCGCATTGCAGCACAAATGGCGGCATGCATACTGGACCCCTTCTGCACGTCGCCACGTGGCGGAAAGAGTACGCTACCCTCCCTTGCGCCCAAATCCATCCCGCCGTGCATGTCTTCGTTCGTCCGTGCTCGCACCGCCATAACGAGTCGCTTCTCATTCCATGTACGGATTCATGGAAGAATATTCGCCCATCGTTGTTCACGATAATTTCTAGCATTCGCTTTCGCGGCCGCAGCGAAGATCTTTGCCGCCGGTGGGTTCCTGCGCCGAGGAGCATCACGTCGCCGCATCCTGAGGCTGAGGACGTAGGTACCAAATCTGACGGTATAGATCCCAAACGATGTGCGAGAAGCGCGTGCATGGAGAGAGCACGGCGTCTCCTGGAGCTATGAGCGAGCCTGGAGAATTTGCTTGCTTACAGCGGCGCTAGCGCCAGCCTCCACGCCCTGGAAGGAGATGGGCGTGAGATAAGGGCGTGAAGTGATGGGATGGAGTCGTGTGGTTGGATCTGGATGCGCGAACGTTCTTCAGAGTTGCGCTGATTTCGCCAACACGTGTAACCAGCATTGATGTTCCGAATTTTCTCGTTACTGCACATTCCATTACAATTGTCAGGCACTTTTCATTTCGTCAAAGTTGTTTCCGAGTTGCCCTGCTGGTGCAGGAAACCTCATTATTCTGATATTGAAGCCCTCAATAAAGTGCTTCGATTTCCACAGCACCCCAGCCGCGCTGCTACGATTCACTGCCATCGACATATTTGGTGGGCTGAAGCAATCCAACAACACAGAAACCCCTGACCCTTTACAGTCGGTGCTCATTTCAAGAACACCAGGTAGGCGGGCGGCATGTGAGTGAAACGAGTTTTGAACAGTTCGCCACGTTCGCCATTGTTTTGTAAACAATTCTGATGGCAGGCAGCCGTTGTTGTTTATGTACTGTAGATGATTTTCTTCCTCGACTTGGTGACTCTACCCTGAAATCAGCACAATCACCACTCACAGGCAAAACGTTCGCGAGTGACTGATTTTCTAATTGTGAAAGCAATTTTTTGTGATAGGCTGAGCATCGACTGTAGTTCGGCAATGATGCGCTGCGGCACCATCGGTCATTCGCGCCGCACGGCCATTCGTGATGAGGGGTCGGTTCATCCCACGTTCACCTCTCATCATTCCATTTATCGTCGCATCATCGTCGCACGTCCGACCCATCATCCCCAACCCGGAACCAAAAGGGATAAGATGAGCGCCGACCCGCCCCAGTTCCAGCTCCCGTCGCTATCGCCACGGAGCTTCAATGAGCGCACGCGCGCATGACTTCGATCGCGAGCGCACTGGGACCCATTTACCTCTTCGCCTGTCCCCTTGTAACGTCTTCAGCCCTTCGCACGACGTTGATCGCCAGTTCATACCATTCTCAGCGTGCTCTTCTGGAAGGTACACGACGCAATCCTGCTCCCGTGACCATTCAGGAGAAGCTCGTCTCCTCGTGCGATTTCTTCAGCACTCAAACCCTAGTACAAAATCCCTTCAGTAAACAGCGCCTCGGAGGACCTCTTCTGGGCACACGCAAGGGACTTCGCTCCACGTTCTCCGCGTTCACTGTAGGCACAACCGTCTTTGCTGTTTTCTTTCCTCGTTCCTAGTACACGAGTCAGCCATCCCAATTTCTCTGTCTTGGGTTATAGGATGCACCCTTGGCTCCCTCGTGAGCACTCTCCTTCGTTGCTGCGTGGAAAAGGGGAGGTCCTTGTAGAGTGGCGGAGAGCGAGGGAGAGAACCGGCGGTAGGGAGAAGGTGGTAGAAGGTTGGAGAACGTTAAGTGGGAGAACGGCGCCGGGGAATGAGGAGATGTTAATGGGAGGTGCATGTAAAAGACTGGGAAGGAAAGGGCGGAGACTGAAGGACAGCGAGATGCCGAGGGTTTAGGGGGTGATTGACGGATGGGACGGGCGATGAACGAAAGCGGCTAGTTAACAATAGTGAACAGAAGCCGGCTAGTTAACAATAGTGAACAGAAGCAGGTGTCGTTTTCGCGTGTGAGCAATGCGGAAGCTTGAAGCTTGTGTTAGTGGTTCCTAAGCTTGGTGATGAACAAGTTTGGTTTCTCTTGGTGGTGTCAGTTTTCTTCTTTCTTACTAGGTTTTTCCATAATCCTTTTGCACTGTTTGGGCCCTTCCCAGGCATTGAGCAGCCTGGAGGTGTTGCACCTGGCCCGGGCACCTCAGTCGTTTGATGTCTCTGTTCCCCCAGCGACTGTATGTAAGAACCTGTGTGGCTTTGCAACTAATCAATGGGCAACTATATGTCCCCTAGCTTCTTGACGACAGTTTCCTGGTTATCCTCTTTCATATCTATTATGGTTGATTGAGAAAATTGTAGTATGAAATGCATGTTATTCTCACTTGGGTCCAACCAGGGCGTTCGATTTAGGGCCTTGACCACCTATTCCGTGTGCCTTCTTGGTCTCTCCACGACTAGAGCGGACAGTACGACGAATGTGCTTGGGGCTGTGCCCTTGTGGACAGGAGATGTCCCTTTGACCCACCAACCAATCAATGATCCTTCCCCCTAATAGTCCTGGTGTGAACCTCCCCCCTAATAGTCCTGTACTGTGGTTGATTTATCATGTAGTTAACCTACCATGTGGTTAACCTATCCTGCAGTTAACCTATCCTGTAGCTAACCTATCACATGGTTAGCCTAACACGTAGATAACTTACCACGCGGTTACCTATCAAGTCGTTAACTTATCAAGTGGTTAACCTTTTTGTTTAATTAACCTATCTACTCTGTAGTTAACCTATTCTGTACTTAACCTATCACGTGGTTAACCTATCATGTGGATAACATAGCCATTCTTTCATAACCAAATATTGTCTCTCTTATCGATTTGCTCCTTTGCCTTTCTGCATCTCTCTTTCAATCCCATCTGCTTCTATAGGTCTCTCTTCACTCCACTTTAATCCAGTCCACTGTTCCCCTACTCCTGTCCACTTTTCAGGATTAAGGCTTACCTTGCATGAACGCTTCGTGGGTTGAGTGTGCATCGAGACGATGGCTGTGAAAAGGGAGGCGAATGTTCATAGTACGGCAGTTAGTGGGGTGTTTGCAGCAGTGAGATGGGAACTAGCCTCAGTGAAGGGGAAGGTTGCAGAAATTGAGGGGGAGGTGGCAGAGGTTAAGGGGGAAGTGGAAGAGGTGAAGGGGGAAATGGAAGAGGTGAAGGAGGAAGTGGCAGAGGTGAAGGAAAAGATGGCAGAAGTAAAGGGGGAGCTGGCAGCAGCAGTGGCGGAGAAGAGGTGGGTTGTGGAGAATGAGGTGGATGGGGTGAGGCAATGCACGTTGACATTCATGTGATCCTACTTCTCTCGCTACCTGGCTTATCAGCATTCTCGTGCCCCCCATGCCCATATGCACCTTTTGTCTCCGTCGTTTCTTCTCCTCTTGTGCACTCAGTGTGCAAATGTCTACCTGCCTCTGTGGCTGCCGCTTCCCCCCTCCTTCCCCCCTTGCTGCAGCTTGTTCCACCCGTCCTCTTGTCCCCCTCCCCCCGTCTGCCTGCTGCCTCACCTTCTTTCTACCATCTCGTTGTTTCATATGGTCATTCTCGCAAAGCAAATCTCACAACTATGTGCTCCATCTGTCTCCTCATGTGCACTCGGTCAGTACAGCACCTCTCTCACATTTCCTGCCACTTCCCCCCTCCTTCCCCTGGTCCTGCTGCCACCTTTCCTCATACTTGCCCTGCCGCACCTTAATGTGCAGCGGCACGCCTTGCATAGCCATGCCCCGGAGGACTGCAGTGGCAATGCTGCTGCTGGCTTTCTTTCTCGGCGCTTCCATTGTGTATTTTGGGTAAGGAGACATGTTGGTAAGGTACGTTTAGGAACCACCTAGCAGTTTTATATGCTTAAAACCTGCTTTACAAAATGTAAACCTCAAATGGTGATCGCTGGAGGTAAATGTGGCGGCGATTGGGTTGGGTTTTTAGATAGTCTTTGGTGATGTGTAGTTGTGGGTTGGGGAGTTACGTCGGTATGGGTGGGTGGAGTTACGTCGGTATGGGTGGGTCGGTGTGTGTCTTTGCTTCTGTGTTTGCAATATGGCTCCAAGATTGTGACCCGCAAAGTTGAAAAAGTCTTTATTTGGGTCAAAACGTGCATCTAGAGTGCTGCGTGCAAGCAACTAGGGTGTTGATGATTGACACTAGATGCTCAGGGCCTCAGAGAGACATATCCAACATAGGTATGCCTTCACATCTGCATGTTTTCCCTCACGGTTGGCACTATCATCAGCATTTCTCTTGCTGCTTAATCCTGGGGGCGATCAGCTTATTTCTACCTACACCTCCTCTCTGACTTCCTCATACTCGTATTGCCCCATTCTCATTTCCTCTCCCTAACCTTCTGTCTGCGCATTCCATGTGTGATGTCATGTGTGTGTTCCTACGTGCTGGCATGTGTAGAAAGAATGCCGGGTCACACGTGGAGAGGGAGCTGGGAACAGTGAAGTGGGCAAGGTTTATAATTACGGTTTTCGTAAAATACGGTCCGTTTTTTACGGTCGTTTTTTACGGTGATTTTTCAAAAATACGGCCGTTTTTTTGTTAGAGAACTCTGTTCACCAAGGAAAAAAATAGAAAAACAAGGTCAAAAACATTTTCAATCATGCCAACAAGTGCATACATGCAAAAAGGGGTCCGTCCCCTTCATGCTGCTCCTTTTCGGGTTCAATTTGGTCCCACTAGGTGACCGTTTAGTTAGTTAAACAGGAAACACCTCCTGGAACCGTTTTAAACCGTTTTAAACCGTTTTTTACGACCGTTTTTTACGGTAAATTTTCAAAAAAACGGTCGTTTTTTTTAACCCTGGAAGTGGGAGCTGGCTCAACATAAGGATGCAATAAAGGGGCTGAAGGATGCGATGAAGAAGATGCATGTTGAGCTGCAAATCGCTCAGAGTAGTGGCAGTCATAAGATTGCATGGGAGGTAAGCGTATATTTTTAAAGGCATCCATTGTCTCACAGGGCATGCACAATTTGAGTATTCTTTATCATCCCTCCTCAATCTAACCCCCCCCCCCCCCCCCCCCCCCCCCACATCCAATTCCGCCAGCGAATCAAGGCAGCATCACAAGCAACTGAGCTGAGCCTTGGCAATCTCAAAGGCCTCTCAGACGGCGTCCTTCACCATGTGGCTGAGATGACACATCTGAAGAGCATCGACTTGCACTATGAGCCAGGCTTCTTTTGGTGGATGCCGTCGTCAGGCTTCAGTGCAGAGGGCATCAAGCACCTCTACAGGCTGCCACAGCTTGAGTAGTGGCAGTCATAAGATTGCATGGGAGGTAAGCGTATGTTTTTAAAGGCATCCATTGTCTCACAGGGCATGCACAATTTGAGTATTCTTTATCATCCCTCCTCAATCTAACCCCCTCCCCCCCCCCCCCCCCCACATCCAATTCCGCCAGCGAATCAAGGCAGCATCACAAGCAACTGAGCTGAGCCTTGGCAATCTCAAAGGCCTTTCAGACGGCGTCCTTCACCATGTGGCTGAGATGACACATCTGAAGAGCATCGACTTGCACTATGAGCCAGGCTTCTTTTGGTGGATGCCGTCGTCAGGCTTCAGTGCAGAGGGCATCAAGCACCTCTACAGGCTGACACACTTTGAGAAGCTAGACCTCAAAGGCACAGGCATAACAGACAGTGCCTTAGAAGGCATCGAGTCCTTGACCGAACCAAGGTGACCGATGCTGGTTTGCCATACTTGACACGCCTTCCCTCTCTCAAAATATTGAGCCTTACGGGATGCAAGGGCGTGACGACTGCTGGCATGGTGCATCTGGCAAGGCTGACGGGGCTTCTAAGTCTTTGGCTGGATGGCACGGCAGTCACGGATGATGGGCTGAAGCAGTTGGCTGGCCTCACCAATCTAAGACAACTTTTTCATCCGGGTGGGAACTGGAGGCAGTTAGCTGGGTAGGGTGGCAGGGAGGGATGGTGGAAGGGATCTGAGCTCGTAGAAAAGTTTACTCTGACTGTGTGTGGACGCACAGATGCGTGGACTCAGGCATGCGGCTTAGTTACCCACCCAACTTTTTCCCCACTCTACAAGTTACCCACCTTGTTGAAATCTGAGAGGAGATCCGATCGACGTCTGAGGTTCTTGCTGCACTTGGAGAACAATGTATGCGGAGGAGTGAGGCATGGAATGGTGCTTGTGCAAGGCTGAAGTTGCATGGTGCATAGAGATCAGGTTCATGAGGGAAGGGATGCATTCACAGAGCCTGCCTAACTGTGGATGCTGACGGTACGGACGTGTGAAAGTTAACTTGTGCGGGATCACAACGAACTTAGTCATTGTGTGTGAAGCTTGCAAGGCACTCATGCTTCATTTGCTGACCTTCAAATTATTATCAGACTGATAAAATCATGTACTACAGTAATGCATTGACTTGACACAGAGATGCACGTTTGATAATGCTGATAAGGCGATCCTCCAGTATTATCCATCAAACAATACAGAGACAAGTAGCTTCTTCCTCTGTGTACACCAAAACCGCACATGGCGTTTTGCTTGAGGATGTTCTGCAGGCTGAGACGAAGGAGTGGGTTGCGTGGGACGGATGTGAAGCACAAAGCAGACCCGTGTGAGCCTGGGGACAGGGCAGATGTGGCGCATGCTGCTGTGCACTTGAAGTGATTGTCTCGCTCCCTCCCCACAGTCAGATCCAGCCCCTTAGCACGTATTTCTCACCACCTGAGGTGGTCCACCTCCCCTAGCAGGCTATTGTGAATAGCAGCAGGCTGCAACACAGGGAGTGGAGGTGACCTTTGGAGCTGGGAGGATTGATTTACGAGTGGCATGCAGGAGAAGAAGACTTGCATCACCCTTGAGATGATCTCAGTATGTGCGTTGCAGTGATGCAAACAGCTCGTCCTTGTTTCATCTAGGTCGCTGTGTGTTACCGCCACTCACCACAACACATTAATATGCCTCAGAAAGGCTGCCTTCACAGAAAGAGTGAAGGGCATGCGCGGAGGCCAGGAATGGGCAGACTGCAGGGCTTGGATGAGAACAGCAGTGGATTGAGTTTTGGAAATGAATTATTATGGGATGCGGTGTGCTTGCACGGCTGCCTAGAGCACACAGGCGTGGCTGCTGACACGGCTCGACATGTAAGACACTCCCACCAGTTTATTATTTTCGAGTGCCGATAATCCCCAGTCCAGCCATGGTAGCTCTGCCCGTGCCCCAAGCATCACACGTCACCTCCCTGGCAGCCTCCTTCCATGCACGCCATGCCATAATGCCGAGAGGCGACTTCTAGAAGCAGCTGGGGTGAGGTAGAGGGGGCGGGGTGGAGTAGGGGGCTGGGAAGGGGAGGTGGGGCAGGGAAAGAGAAGGTGGGGTTGAGTTTGAGGCGCCTCTCTGCTCCCACCATGAACCAATCAGCAAGAAGAAGAGGGAGGAAAGAGTAGGGAGAAACCAAGGGGTGATGTTTGGAGTGGTGGGTGGTCGGGAGGAAGGGAAGGGGAGAGAAGTGAGCAGGGGGAGGAGGGGGGGTGGGGGATGGGTGACAGCAGTCGGTCTTGACGCAGGTGCAAGGCTATGGTTCTGCTGTAATGTTGCCATGGGAGGGATTAAGGTGATGATGGAAAAAGGAGGATCCAGGATAGGGAGTAACACCTGGTCTGTGCATGAGGTGAATGTTGATGAGGGGCACCGCACGATGTGATCAAGGGCATGGCATGATGAGATGAAAGGCGTGTTCTACGATGGGATCATATGTTTTATCAACCTGCTGGAGTATTTTTGAGAATTCTCAAAAATACTCTACATGAGATGAAGGGCGTGCTACGATAGGATCACATGATCAAACTGCTGAAAGCTGGCTGAAAGGAAGGGGGAACGGATAGCGAGGAGAAGCACAGGCGTTGGAAGAGCTGAGTGCGGTAGCGGGAGATGTTGGGTACGGGGTGGGTGATAATAGGGAATGTAGGAGGGAGGGAAGGAAAGAGGGAGGAGACAAAAGAGATGACAGAAGGCATTGGAAGAAGAGAATGGCAAATCGAAGGGACACGAAAGGAGACGGAAGGGAAGGGGGGAAAGGGAGGCGGTGGAGGGAAGGGTGGGGGGTGGTGAGGGGTGGGTAGCTCGCCTCACCCGTCATGATGCCATATGCCTCCCGGGAGCGGGTTTGTGTGGTGGTCAGCTCCTTGTGCCGCTTCACCATCTCTCGCCTCCCACCACCACCATGGTGGCAAAACGACTATTGATTCAACCACACATGCTTTTGGCGGACCGTGCATGCACCTCTCATGCCTCCCTCCTGCCTGCCTCCCGCCACTCGATGCTGACTGACTGACTTCACCGCCACCGCTGCTGCTGCTGCTGCTGCTGCTGCTGCAGCAGCAGCTTGCGGCTCTGGAAGTGCAGGTACTCCCTTGAACATGATGCTGCCCCCATTCCAGTCGATGCTGACTGACTGGCTTCACCGCCACTGCTACTACTGCAACCCGTGGCTCTGCCATGCTGCCCGGCTGGTATGTTGCAGAGATGAGCTGGGATGCTCACGCAAGTCTAAGCAGGCAGGTGACCGATTCCATTTCACCGCCACCACTGCTGCTGCTGCTCCTGGCTCTGCCATGCTAAGGTGACTGTGTGTCATGGAGATGAGTTGGGCTCCCTCCTCACCTGCCTCCACCCACTCCCCACTGACCACCTTCACCGCCACCACTGCTGCTGCTGCCCATGGCTCTGCCATCCTAACCCGTTGTATGTTCCAGCGATGAGTTGGGCTCCCTCCTCACCTTCCTCTTCCTCCACCCACTCCCCGCTAACTGACTTCACCGCCACCACTGCTGCAGCATCCCATGGCTCTGCCATGCTGCCCTGCTATGCGTTATGGAGATGAGTTGGGCTCCCTCCTCACCTGCCACCACCCACACCCCACTCCCCACTCCCCACTGACCGCTTTCACCACCACCAGTGCTGCTGCTGCTGCAGCTCTTCACCTGCCTGCTTGTCGCTCTCCAGCAGCCTGCTGCTGCAGCTCGCCACCTGCCTGCTTGTCGCCAGGCTTTGCGTCGCAGCCACGGGCTGGGCTCTTTCATACAAGGCAAATGCTGTTGGTGTGGTGGGGAGTGCTGAGGGGGGATGAGATGAAGAGGGGTATACCACTGGGTGAGAAGAGGGGAGTGGAGGATATCTGATGCTGGGATTGCACATGGGAAGGCAGTGCTCGCATCCATTCTGCCTTGTTAGAGATCGAGTGCTAGATAGAAGCACCCTACTAGGCCTGGAAGGGTGAAGCCGCAAAGGATGGAGGGAGGCATCACACGACAAGAAAACACGGACCATGCATCTCTCGAGGTATAGTCACATCTCTCGAGGTATAGTCACATCTCTCGAGGTATAGTCACATCTCTCGAGGTATAGTCACATCTCTCGAGGTATAGTCACATCTCTCGAGGTATAGTCACATCTCTCGAGGTATAGTCACACCTCTCGAGGTATAGTCACATCTCTCGAGGTATAGTCACATCTCTCGAGGTATAGTCACATCACATGTCTCCGCCCCATGAATGAGAAACAGCATGGAAGCTGTCAAAACGCACAAGTTCCCTCGCCACGAGGCCTAGGTAAACCCACCAGCACACGAGGATTGAGACGTCTTAAAAAACTTGCCACGAGGCCCAGGTAAGCCCACCAGCACATGAAGTCGTATGTACTCCTAGCCTCCCGCACTGCCTCCGCCCCAAGCAAATGTAAACACTTCCCGAGTGACTGTAAAGCCCAAGCCACACCCACTGTGATGTGAACACCACGTTGTACTCCTTACTCCATATCCTTGGATGCTCGTTCTGCTCTGATGTCCTGATATCCTTTGATATCCTTGGACATCTCCTCCTTGGGGCTCCTGACATCTCTACCGCCATGTCGCTCATGAGATGACACCCAGCCTGTGGAGCATCCGCCGCATGGTGATAACCTTCCGGTTTACCACATTGCCCTCCTCTCTGTCCACCACACATACCAGCGGCCAGCATCAGCTGCCCCCGAGGTGACTTTTGAGTCGACTCAAAAGTGATGATGACCATCACCACACTGCCCTCCTCTGTCCTCCGCACATACCAGCGGCCGGCCCAGGTGACTTTTCAGTCGACTCAAAACTCACCTCCTCTGTCCAACGCACATACCAGCGCCTAGCCCCAAGTGACTCTTCAGTTGACTCAAAACTCACCTCCTCTGTCCACCGCACATACTAGCGCCCAGCCCCAGCCACCCCTGCCGCCTCCTCTCCTCCACCCCTCAGACACTGTTGGTGCTGTTGGTGTGGAGAGGGGAAGGAAGTGAGGGGGAGAGTGTGAAGGAGGTAGAGGCATGCTGATGAGCGAGGAGGTGGGAGTGGAAGATAGCTGATGTTGACATTGCACTTGGGGGAAAGCGGTGCAAACATTGATTATTCCATCAAGGCGAAGTAAGGCCACAAACACCATATTGGTTGGGTAGGGGGCGAGGGAGCAAAAGTTGGTAGGCATGGCAGGAACATCAATGGATGGAGGGGGAGAGAGAGGTTGATAAAAATGTTCAGATTTCTCTGCATACTAAGCATCACTCACCTCTGCGTCGGCACTTCGCCCTACCTGCAATCAGATGAGATGAGAAGCAACCTGCACGCACAGCATGTGTACTGCCATGTGGCTCCGGGTGTGCCACATGTGCCTCTGGCATTTCATATTT